GCACGGTCGTAAGCGCGCAAGCAAGCAAGTGAACTTAATATAAAGGATTTTTAAAAAGGAACACTGTGTTTGCAATTATGCAAATGTATTTTGCCGAAAGCTCCTTATCATGATCCACGCGTATGTATGATTTTTCCCCAACAAATTTTAGCATTTCAAATCGTACCCCGTCTGTTGCATCGTTCGGCTGTGTCCGTACAACATTAATCAATGTTGCGTTTAAAAGTATCGTACCGTGTTGCTTTTGTACTCAACAGGCCTCCCCCACCCCTCGTGAATATGGAGTGCTCTTTCCAATAACATGTGACGATTCGACAGTATTTGCTTAACCGATTCTGACTGCTGTCGAGACTGAAAAAGGTCAAAACCACTGCACAGAGTTTGCTCGCTTAAACAAATGTCTCTGGATAACTTCAGTCCGTAGACCCACTACGCCACTGCGACATTTTTACGTGGAAATACAGAACAAAAGTCTGTTTATTGTTCATTACATTTGTTATGCTGCGGATTGGTTCCAATTGAATGTTTGTCTCTCCGGACTCTCATTCAGTCCGAAACAGAGGAACTCAATGCATACGTCAACAACGCTGCCTTCAAAGAAAAATATGATATGCAACACATGACGTTTCAGGCAATGGCACTTCCATAAATACTACTACTAATAGAGCTATACATTTGTTAGAAAAGTTTTTTTTTTAGCCCACAGTGTTATTGACATACGTGTTTGAGTTCTTGTGTTGTGCCTGTGACACCACTACCACCAACACAAGCAGCAACAGCAGCATCACCAAATAATTAGTTATAAACCAAGGTCATCAATCTAGAACACACATTATGATTACTACCCCATGCTGACCCAAAGCGGCCTGGGATATAAACAGCTGTCATCAGTGGCATTTATATTGTACTATGAAATTAGACAAACACATCTAGTCGTTGTTTGTCAAAGGACTGAGAATTACTATTTCAGTACGGAACATACAAAGGCGAGGAGCGGTGGCGGTGGGGGGAGTAGTGACTCAGTGGTTAGCACACTGCATTGTGAACCGGGTGATCCGAGTTCTCATTCCTATCAGTGCAGAGTGATCTCAACTGATCCTGGGCAGCCCCATCTGCACAATTCAGAAATCCGCACTGACCTATTACTATTTATTTAAAAATAAATATTTTACCAAGTAAGACCCACTTAACTATAGACCTTTTTTCAGAAGTGACCTCGCCGCAAATGATAGCTCCACGAAATGGCTTATCACGTGGAAATGTATAGCAGCAGCCAAATACCGGAGAAAATTCGACTCGACCACAGGGAGAACATGCAAACTCCAAAATATACAGGCGTCGGGGTCGAACCTACGCCCTCCTGCATACCAGGCGAGGGAGTTAACATGTCGCCACCGCATGTTTAAATATAACCAAACAGCCCCATGACCAAAATGGCGTGGGAAGTCATTAAAGGGTTGTACATTACATACATTACATACCTTGCCTTATTACGACTGCTTGGTACTGTATTGTATAACACGTAGGCTTTCGCGACCAATATTATTTATAATCAACGTTTTTGGGTTTAGATCGCGTTATTTATAAATGTGTCGTAACCCTCCACCACCCGACACGGCCAATCAGTAAAACGTGTCACGTTGACAAAAGACAAATAGTTCACTGCTTTAGCCCACCGGTGTGTTGAAGCGTGAAACCACAACATTTACAATTTTTGAGTAAATGTTGTGGTTTCACGCTTCAACACACCGGTGGACTAAAGCAGTGAACTATTTGTCTTTTATCAACGTGACACTTTTTACTGATTGGCCGTGTCGGGTATGTGGAGGGTTACGACACATTTATAAATAACGCGATCTAAACCCAAAAACATTGATTATGAACTGTATTGTATCTTGTAATCGTATGCAATGATTACAGTCTACAATAGTATCCAACTACTCTATTACACGTACACACGTAAATACGTATACATATAAACATTAAGTTCGTGTATTTGGGTATTGTATTTCTGTTCAGAAAAGTGAGTGGGGCTTGGGTATGGGAGCATCGCTAGAAGGAATGAAGGCCGTGATGGGGGTGATAGCCAACGAATAGGAAGTCGTTCCAGAGGCAGTGCAACACGGAGATGGAGCGATTAAATCGGCTCGTGTGTAGTTGGGTGCGCTCTGCGAATCGTGACATCGCAGAACCAACCGTGACGGATGACGATGATGATTTCACGTAGCCAATGAAGAAGAGCAACTATGTATTCGAGATTCAGTTCTAAGTGAATTAGCCATTCAATTGATTCATCTGAGAAGAAGGAGAATATCAGATAATTCCCACCCCAACCGAAGTTATCTGGTTTCCATGGTTTGCTATTCGTAGCTGCAGTAGCACAAAGGATTGAGAGTGTTCTTTGTATTTTATTTCACAAGGCATTCATCCAGCAGTGGATTGCCCGTGGCTATGATGATGATACGCTGCTAGTTTTGTCTAGAGATTAATGGATACGCACCGTCGTGAGCACACCGCACGCCACGTTTTTTTTTTAATCAGGAACCGCACCCACACCTCTGGCTCAGGGGCAAGTTGAACTTTGATCCAACACTCATAAAAATACCGTATTCTTCCGATTACAAAATGCAGATTCCCCCCCCAAACCCCTTGTGTCTTAAAGCAAAGGTTGTGGGTGCGGCGTATAATCCGGAACTTGTGTGTGTGTGACTAAATGTCTACTTATTGACAACATATTCTTAAGTTTTTTCGGTAAAGTCACGTAGGTAAAAAATGTTAAATTAATAAAAGTAAAATAAAAATAAAATAAAAAAACACGACGTTTCGGAGGCAACACAAGCCTCCGAAACGTCGTGATTTTTTATTTTATTTTTATTTTACTTTCATTAATTTAATTTTTTTACCTACGTGACTTTACCGAAAAAACCTAAGAATATGAATCCTTGCAGTCACGAAAGCTTTAAATCTAGAACTTACTGACAACCGCAAGAATATATTTTTTAGTGCGTCTTACTTTCTGAAGCGTCTTAGGAGAGAATAGAGTGGTGGTATTAGATATGTAATACACGCGTGTGTGCACACGCAATTCCCCCTTTTTGGCAATGCACTGATGATGGATGAGGGTCTCCGCCAAGGCATGCGGGGGTCGTGGGAATTTTTTGTTTTTATTTCCCCATGAAACTTCACGTAGGGCACTTCAATACGCTGCTGGTTCGTGACAATTTGTTGACCGGGTGGGGAGCATAGAAGTACAGTACAACAAAACATTTTTTGCTGCACTGCAAATAATAATATATACCGCCGCAGAAGCCTACAACACCTGATTGATGGGTATGTGGTCACCCATACAAGGAGGGGCCGAAGTCCCCGACTCAAGTCTTCCTATGATTAGAGATGGAACGAGATGGGGCGAATTGTGGGATAATCGTGTCAATGGCATAACCAGCTTTATGCCATTGACAAAGCACGTGATAAACATTGCTCAACGTATATTTAAGGACAGTCATTTTAAACTCGTGGGAGATGTATTTAATCATCATTTCACGAACGGAATTTAACGTTGCTGTGGCTGCGTGCCAAAAACCAAGTTAAAACATTGACCAATTCCATTAAATGAGCGTTTGGCTGGCTTGCACGTGGAAGGAAACCGGAGAAAACCCATCGCGCATACCAAAGGGTTAATGATGAAAGCTACGCACAGATGGATTAAAAAATACACTGATGTAGTGATATACCATGGCCTTCTCACAACCCGATGATATACTCAACAATGTAGTGATATACCATATAGCCTTCTCACAACCCGATGATATACTCAACACCTCGTAGGCAGTCGCCCATGCAAATACGATCCAAGCTCGGTCCTGCTTAGCCCTCGAGAGCTATTGAGATCAGACGCTTTTCCAGGTGATTTGGTTATAGGTAATGTTACATATGTATATATTTAATCCGCTCATATACGGTATATACATACGCACACACATGGAAACGGGAGCATTCGCGGGTTAATGGCATTATCCAAACTTAATAAAAGTGGACTTGGGCAGCCATGATGGAATAATTAATAATTTAATGGGTGGCAGCCAAAGAATGCAACGTGTCTCAGAAGGTGTCCACAGAGGAGACGGAGTGATGAAAATCGTTGCGTGCGCAGGTGGCACGGTGGATAGTTGGCACCGTAAGATTGGCGAGAGAAGTGGTGGCGGCGGTTTGAGGCCTTCATCCAGCGGTGGACTGACCATGGCTAAAGAGGATTATATTGCTCATAGTTCAAGCACATAATGTTGACAATACTCATACCTGCCCGCATCTAAAGTACAGGTGTGCAAGCTCGCCTTTAAAGCGCACGTGACTGATAGAAGGCACAGGTGTAAAGCCACAGAAAGTAAGTAAATGCCCACAACCATTCTCAATCCACTGATGGATTAAAGCCACCCCACAGCCATGTCGGTCATGCGAGGTTTTTTGTTTTATTTCACCATACTTCACAACGCTGGCCCACGCGGTTTGGTAAAGAGGAGAGAAGGGTGAGTAAAAGGCAAACAGTACTGATTCCGATATAAATGTGCCACGGAGAATTCGCCGTGGCCGGGAATCGAACGCAAGTCGGTTGGGTTCGTGGCGCAGTGCGCTACTAACCACTCCACCACCACTTCCCACATAAATACAAAGATCTCTCGTATAGCCTTAACGGACTGTTGGGGCAAGTGCCTCTGAAGACCGGAATGGCAAAGCAGGGGGTGGGTGGCCAGCACCACGCCCGGTCACCTTTGTCTCCCGAGTGGCAATGTTTACACATGCCACTAGGTACTCATTTGAAGCCGAGTCGACCTAGAGGAGACCCAGGAGCGGTTCAGACAACCATCACTGGCGTTGGCCGGGAATCGGCTTCGTAGCGCAGCACGCATACCTTTCACGCAATCACATTTTTTTTAAATAACAAAGGTATGAATACTCTTTACAAAGGTATGAACAACGTGTATATAATCATCACTCCTTACCCAGTATCTGCTTCCGTCGCTCCGTGTGCGGCTGTTCGGTGTAAACCCACTCGAAATCAGTTCTTGTCACCCTGTTCCCCATGGCTCTCGCAGTTGCTGGGTCTCTGCGCCCAGGTGTATTGTCTCGATATGGCCGGGTCGTGAATTCACGTGGAAGGTGATGGAGGAGGTTTCGAGTGGGGACTTATGGAGGGGCGGGGACTTCAGAGACGTGGCCTACAGAGGTGTGGTTTTTAACTTTCAGCCAACCACATGAAACCCATACACTCACTCATCGCTCACCATCAATCACATGCTACGAACCAACCATTCGAAATTCACTCACACACCACCAACTACAAGAAAGCCACCCACTTAACCACACAAACCCAACCACACAAAACTTACTCAATACCAGCCACACCCCACTGACCGCACGAAACCCACTCATTCACACATCGCCAACCACACACCACTAACCACACGAAAGCCACTCACATACCACCAACCACAGCAAATCCACACTCACACACTACTAACCACACCCGACCAACAACAACAACACAAACCCCACTTAATACCAACCACACGAAGCCAACTCACACACAGCCAACACACTCGAGTGGTCGAGTGAGATTTTCGACTTTTGAATATTTAGCGACACCTAGCGAGTTTCTTGAGGTTCGTTTGGCAACTTTGCTGACAGCAGTTGGCAACACTGAGAGCGCTTGCACTATCAACCTGACCATCTGAGTTTGATTCTCGGCCTCGGCTAACATTTGTGGCGAGGGTTATCTGAACCGATCCTGCCTGACCCTTTCACCAAAAACCTGCGTTGTCGGTTTAACAATTCAGCAAGCAATCCCTAGTATTGCCAAAAGGGGCCCGCCCTTTGACAACATAATTATAATATCCTTTAATAATTGAACAATTCATACGACCTTTAAGCATTCCGAATGTGCCCGATCTTGCCGGCTGTATGAAGCAAAGCAGGTTTAAGCCTGTTTAGTACTTGCAATGGTAGGCTGACTGAGATGAATACCTCTCTTAGAGTTTTCCCCACTTGCTACAGTAATTTTGCTGTGACGGTGCCACCTGAAGACGGAAGCTTGTGTTTCCTCCGAAACGTTGTGATTTAATTCATCTTAATTTTTTCTTTTTTACCTACGTGACTTTACAGAAAAAACAAAGATCATGAGATGAATACCGTTTGCTTTTTTCGGCTTGGGCTACTCGATGGCCGTAAGGTTGTACTATTAAATCAATGGATTGTTCAGTGTCATACTTCACCAGACAACTCAGTGCGCTTTGGTGAAGTGGGGGCCTCAAGACCACCACCCGTGGTAATCCACCTAGGGACATGCAAAACAAACTGATTGTATCGCTGCTCTTCTCGGTATAGGTCCTCTCTCGGATGCGATTTATTCATTACAAATCTGTTCACATTTGTATTGTATACTTTCAAAAAAAGAATGTCCATGCAATGGGATTAAGTTGTTGTTGTTTTCCTCCCTTGAATAAGAGACAGATGGTGTGAGTGGGCTCACACCTGCTCATGAATAAAAGTGGTTATCTCCAATTATAGCTGTGGTTGAGCAAAACGTCCTCCTCGATTACATGGATTCGTTGAGGAACAGCTCGAGGTACAATCTCGCCATCTGCTGGTGAATATTTGGTGATGCTGCGAGTGCAGTTGTGCTCAAGCACATAACAAATATAAACTCAACGCGATCATCAAGAAAACTGTGGCCATAAAAGGAAAAATATAAGCCGACGATTTTGGCAATGGTTTTATGTCCAACGAATAAGGCTCATTGCCCAAAACGTCACCGATTATATACACTGCCACGTATCCAAGACGGCTCGACAGAGTGGGAGAAGTAGGCCAAATACTCGCTGAGAGCTCCCTCCAAAGGGGGGCTCTTCCGTCAGCACTGGCATTAGCAAGCAATTGCAAGAACTGCCCCCTCCCTTTTAAATTGCTACACAAAAGTTACATTTTCTCAGAGCTTGTTTTTTCCCTAATGCAAACCCCTGGTGCACATTTACTTTTTATTTTAAGAATGCACCATTTGAAAATCTCACATTCTCCCAAAAAAAAAGAATTGTTACAATTTTCTATTCAAGTTGTAATATAACCCGAACTCTCCTTTTGCTCTAACGAGGCACATGTCTGACCCACAGTGTGCTCCCCCCATCGGCTCAATAAAGGCAACAAATGAGATCTCGCGAGAGTTCGCCGCGGCTCTACGCCCTCCGCCACCACGGCGTCACCAAATCTCGCGATGTTTGGGCCGGGTCCTTCCCTCCCCCCACTGCCTCCCCCCCACACACGCTGGAGGAAAAGGGAAGAAACTGGAGCGGCCGGGAGAGCCACTGGAGCTGGCTCAGCCTGGAGCCACTGGATCCACACGAGCTCGTGGCGCTACTAGTTTCCCCGGGAGACGGCAAGAGGAGCCCACGCCACTTGATCCATTCAAGTGAGAGACATTGGAGCCACTGAATCCGTCAAAGCTGTGGCCACCAGATCTACTGGATTCGCTGGATCGAGCGAATCCAACATCGGAGCCACGCGAGCCATCGGAGCTGGAGCCGCCCAGGTCACTCGATCCAGCCAAGCAGCTGGAGGAGCCACGTGAGCCACCAAGAACCTCCGCTGGTGGTGGGGCTGGAGACGCAGCGTCTACGGGAGCCACCGAATTCATCTGGGACACCTGATTCACCACCAAAGCCACTCGAGCCACGGGAGCACCGAGCGGAGATGTCGACGCAGGACGGGCTGTACGTGACGGACGCCACCGAGATGCCGGCCGAGATCGTGGAGCTGCACGAGATCGAGGTGGAGACCATCCCCGTGGAGGCCCTGGAGGGCATGGAGGTGGAGGTTCAGCAGCTGCAGCAGCACGAGCATCAGGAGCAGCTGGAGCAGCTGCAGCACGGAGGAGGCGGAGGGGTCATCTCCCTGCAGCCGCTCAGCAGCAGCGGCGACGACGATTTTGATGATGACGATCAGCAGCGGCAGCAGCACCGCTACCACCACCACCACATCATGGCCCATCACCTCCACCACGAGGTGATCCTGGTGCAGACCCACGAGGAAGTTGTGGGTGAAGAGCAGCTCGATGTTTCAGCCTTCGATGACCACATTCTGGTGCCAGTGCCCCTGGCTATGACAGAGGAGCGTGAGGCTGAGGAGGAAAGTGGTAGTGACGATGCTGATGATGGAGATGATCACGATGATGGTGATGATGGAACTCGGTACGCGGTTAGGCAGCAGCAAGATGACGACGACGATGATGACGATGAAGAGGTTAGGGCTGGACAACAGCAGCAGCAACGTCAGCAGCAGCAGCAGCGTCTTCTGCTCGGGCGAGCGGCCTTCTCCTCGGGCCCCGTGGCAGCCCGGAAAGCCGGTGGCAGGAAGACCGGAAAGAAGTCCCAGGGGACCCGGCGTGGTCAGCGCGGCGAGGCGGGGCCCGATAGGAGCCCCCGACGTTGGGAGCAGAAGCAGGTGCAGATCAAGACCCTGGAGGGCGAGTTTTCCGTCACCATGTGGGCATCAGGTCGGTTCAAGCCTCTGGGGCAGGGGGTGAGTCTGAGACTTGGGTAATTTAAATGACCAGCGTGGTGAAATATGGTCAAATAACCCACCGTGGCTATGTGGGCATTAGGTTGGTGCAAGCCTCTGGGGCAGGGTCTGAGACTTGGGTAATTGAAATGACCAGCGTGGTGAAGTATGGTCAAATAACCCACCGTGGCCATGTGGGCATCAGGTCGGTTTGAAGCCTCTGGGGCAGGGAGTGAGTCTGAGACTTGGGTAATTGAAATGACCAGCGTGGTGATGAAATATGGTCAAATAACCCATCACGGCCATCTGGGCATCAGGTCGGTTTGAAGCCTCTGGGGCAAGGGGTGAGTCTGAGACTTGGGTAATTGAAATTATCAGCGTGGTGATAAATTATGGTCGAATAACCCACCGTGGCCATGTGGGCATCAGGTCGGTTCAAGCCTCTGGGGCAGGGGGTGAGTCTGAGACTTGGGTAATTGAAATGACCAGCGTGGTGATGAAATATGGTCAAATAACCCATCACGGCCATCTGGGCATCAGGTCGGTTTGAAGCCTCTGGGGCAAGGGGTGAGTCTGAGACTTGGGTAATTGAAATTATCAGCGTGGTGATAAATTATGGTCGAATAACCCACCGTGGCCATGTGGGCATCAGGTCGGTTCAAGCCTCTGGGGCAGGGGGTGAGTCTGAGACTTGGGTAATTGAAATGACCAGTGTGGTGATTAAATATGGTCAATAACCCACCGTGGCCATGTGGGCATCAGGTCGGTCTGAAGCCTCTGGGGCAGGGGGTGAGTCTGAGACTTGGGTAATTGAAATGACCAGCGTGGTGATTAAATATGGTCAATAACCCACCACGGCCATCTGGGCATCAGGTCGGTTTGAAGCCTCTGGGGCAGGGAGTGAGTCTGAGACTTGGGTAATTGAAATGACCAGTGTGGTGATTAAATATGGTCAATAACCCACCGTGGCCATGTGGGCATCAGGTCGGTCTGAAGCCTCTGGGGCAGGGGGTGAGTCTGAGACTTACATAATTGAAATGACCAGCGTGGTGATGAAGAATGGTCAAATAACCCATCACGGTCATGTGGGCATCAGGTCAGTTTGAAGCCTCTGGGGCAGGGGATGAGTCTGAGACTTGGGTAATTGAAATGACTGTCGTTGTGAAGTATGGTCAAATAACCCACCCTCATTACGGCGTGAGGGAGGCCTTCATCATCCAGCAGTGGATTGATAAAAGGGGCCATTTGTCCATTTGTATTGTGACATGAGGGCCTGGGGTGAGTTTATTGCTGGGGACTGGATCAGATGGAGGTCTGAAGCCAGGATTTTATGGTTCACGTTCAGGATTTTGGGTTGAGGTTCTGACTTTAAAGATAACAATACTGTATTTGATTTGGGTCACTGGAAGGGTTTGGTTGTGGTTCTGAGGGGTATTGTGTGGAATTTGGATGAGGGACATATTTGTTGTGGTTCTGGGTTCCGGTTTGGATAGTACTCATTTTTTATGTTTGGGATTCGAGTCCGGGTGTTTAATTTCTGCCTTGGTTTGGAATTTGAGTCGGGATTTGAGATATGGTTATGGTATTGAGCACCTCGGGATTTGTTTCAGTTATTGTTGTACATGTGCGGATTAGGGGATGGGTTTGAGTCTGTGGGGTTTAGATGTTTGCCTGTGGTTGCATGTTCAGGGCACCTTATTGCAAATTGTGTCTTGAGCCAGGGGTTGGGATCAGGAAGGAGGTAATGGATGAAGCTATGAGATTTGGCTCATGATTTTTTTATGTGGTTGTGGGTCATTGTTTATCGCGTGTAGGTAAACAGGTGAAATGCGTGATTTAATCCGTTGTTCTACATTAGGGTGCGGGTCAGGGTTTGGAGATTTATTTGGGTTCGTGGTTTAATATCCGTGCTTTCGTCTCACTGATGTTCAGAGTGGATTTTTAGAACAACCAACAAAAATCCTCCGCATTCGTCCCGCTTTATCTCTCCATTGTTATTGTTGCTGCGGTTAATACAAAGGCAATGCAGCCACTCATTATCACCATCACCGCTGGTTACGTCATGGGCGGATCCTACCCCCAATGTCCCCCCCGTCACGCCAGGAGACGTGAGGGGGAGAGGCCCGCTGTGTATTTGAACGTATTTTGCTTCCCCCTTTTTAAAGTACAACCAATCAATGGTAGCTTTCCATCCATTCATTTTTTGTTGCTTTACCTCATCGTCATCCCACCAACGAGAGGTCGATTGCAGCCACCAGGGGCCCGTCTGGATTGCAGTCCGGCCGTCATTACAATCTTTAGTCAGGATAGGCGAGCGCGTTTGGAACGCTTCTCCCTATTGGTTGCCGCCACATGTTTCCACCAATAGGGGCTGTCGAGACGGCGACCCGCGCCTGTCTAGTCTATGGTTTTGAAGCTAATTTAAAATGGGCAAAACGGGTATTTTTGTCCCAACCTTACAAAAAAGAGAATGATTTTTCGATTTAAAGCTTTCGTGAATGCAGGGATTCATCTTGGTTCTTTCGGTATAGTCCCGTAGAAGGAAATAATAAAATAATAAAAATAAAACATAATAAAATAATTCTCACGACGTTTCGGCCACAACGCAAGCAGCCGTCCTCAGGTGAAGAAACAGGTCTGTCTTCTCGACAGACCGAAAGAACCAAGAAGAAAGACAATGATCTTTTTAATTCATCAGCCTAAGGATAGTTTAGGTCAATGCTTTCCATCAGCATTTGTTTCGGCGCTAAACATTTCACTAGTCTCGTCTGTATGTGTACAGGCCATTTGTCAACCCACTGCTGGATATGAGGCCCCCCTCCCCACGGCTCTTGCCTACATACAACTCATAAGACGCCCACACTATTTGCAGGCCACACCGTAACCACAGTTTAAAAGGCAACACGGTGCCTCTGAACAATCAAAACAAGTGCAGTACATCAAAATTGTTTGATTTATTGCGTTATAATATCGACCAATTATCGATTTGCACTGATCATCCAGGAAACGAAATTCAGTTATGCTTTTCGTGGTAAATAGAGGACATTATGCATTTTTTTTAAATTCTAGATTTGAAGCTTTCGTGACTGCAATGATTCATACTCTTTGTTTTTTTCGGTAAAGTCACGTAGGTATAAAATAAATGAAAACAACTAAATTAAATCATTTAATTTAGTTGTTTTCATTTAAAAATAATTAAAAAAATAAAAACAACTAAATTAAATTATTTAATTTAGTTGTTTTCATTTATTTTATTTTTTACCTACGTGACTTTACCGAAAAAAAACAAAGAGTATTTTTTTAAAATATATTATTTGTATGATAGTGACGGGAGTGGCAGCCAATGAATAGAACGTGTCCGAGAACGCGTCCACCAAGGTGGTTGAGAAATGAAATCGGCACTTATGCTGGTGTTGGATTGTGTAATACATCCCAGAATCGTAAGAGATGGTGGCAACTTGGTGAGGTCTTCATACAGCTGTGAATTGATAATGGCGAATGATCATGATGATTATTATTATCGTCCACTGTTGTGAAGCCTGCCTTGGCGAACAGGAGAGAAGGGGTCATCCTAGCTAAGAGGATAGGGCCCTGAGGCTGGGACAAAGGAGATGACACCCCTATATTTACCCGCAAACTATTTTCGTGTGGCACAGCCCTTACCTTTTTTACAATCTTAGAATCTGGGCTGGGAAAGTATTGGTTCTCCTTAAAATGTGAACATGAGTGACCTGTATTTTAGAACTAGAAAAAAACTGACCGTTACGATTAGTGCATCTTATTTATGTGCGTTAATGCACAGTTGAGTGTTCTCACCTCATGAGTTGAATTTTATTTGGGTGCTCTGGGTTTCTCCAATGCATTAAATAAACTCGCACTCAATTGGATAAATATCGCAAAGCACGAAGGTTCGTACAGATATGTTTTGAGGCTGTCCTGGAGAAATTCAGGATTACTATTGGGTGTTTCGAGATGCGTTCATGTTAAACGTTTGCTATATCAGGAAGTATAACAGAGTCCTTGTGGAAAAAAGACAAGAGTCGACACTGACAAGAGATCCACAGTCAAGACTGTCCATAAAACACTTTGACATGCAAGTATATGTCGAGCAAGTTTGTGAATCTCTTGCTGAAATGAGGGCCTCCCCACATCATCCAAACAATGAGGGTTATTTGATCATACTTCCTAATGCTGGTCAATGTGGATTGGTGAAGGTGGGGCAATTAGAGAAATAGAATGTATTCTGCTTTTCTGCCCATAGTGCCTACCACACGTGTTTTATGCATCTTGGTCCATCATCTAAGCACTATCCAGGCTCAAGCCTGCATAGCTTTGAAAGTTCGATGGAATTGGGTACATTCTGGTTATTTGATCGTAGCCGGAAGGAACTTTATGGATTTTCATATACAAATTTTGCAATGTTTGAGGCCCAATGGTGTTATGAATCGTGAAGGGTCTGCTATTGTAAAGTGTGATATCACCTTTCATTTGTTTTGTTAAACAGCTAAATATTGAAATGTTTTTTTTAAATATTTATAACATTATTTTGTACCACACCCATAATGAGCAAATTATACAAGATTGCTCTTTACATGAAGTAATGCTCACTAATTATTAGCTAAAAACAAATGGCTCATGCTTATTTTTACCTGCCTACAGCCGATGGTAAAAAGTCTGACGTGGAGCCAGAAGACATTGTGGAAGAAATCATCTCGGCCGGGTCACCATTGCCCGACTACTCTGAGTACATGACAGGGAAAAAGTTACCTCCTGGTGGCATTCCTGGCATCGACCTCTCTGACCCCAAGCAGCTGGCAGAGTTTGCCAGGTACAAGGATATATTATTCATGTATTCCCTGCCTCATTCTGGGTAATGCCACGGAGTGAGGTAATTTGTTTGGGACATTTGCACACACTGGCTCACTTTTGATTTGTACATGACACCCAAACATTGTAGTTTGTGAGTGGTAGAGTAAAGTGGTATCGGAAGAGGTTAATGGTAAAACCCTCAGTACTCCCGAAATTTTGACTCATGTTATTTTGGTGGGGAGCAGTGGTAAAGTGGTTCGTGCTCTGGACTATGAAACCAGAGACCTGAGTTTGATTCTCGGCCATGTGTCATATTTATCAGTCGCGAGTGATAAGCAGTCGTGCTTGCCCCTCTTCACCAACTTGCAGTGATTTGTATGGACTAGTATGGTCAAATTATTTACACGGTGGAGGGAGGCCTTCATCCAGTAGTGGATTGACATAGGGCTGTAAATTCTAAAATACAATGGCTTCTGTGAAATCATATGATCTCCCATAATTAGTAACAGGTGTTATTTTATTTTTGCTTGAGAAAAGGACATGACCACTGGTTTAGTCAAAAAATTATAGATCTTCATGGTGCTTAGTGAGCATATTTCGGGAATTAATTACTTTTCATTTTTTCGGCCTGACATTGCACAAGGATGAAGCCGCGGAAGCCAAAAGAAGATGACTTGCCCAGAACCATTGCATGTCCGCACAAGGTATTTTTACGTTTTGTGAGTCTCTTTAAAAAAAAAAAGTCCATAACAATTGCATTGGTATCATTTAGAATGATCCTGTTTTTATTGTATATTTATCGACAGGGGTGCAACAAAATGTTCAGAGACAACTCAGCCATGCGAAAGCACCTACATACGCACGGGCCTCGTGTGCACGTCTGTGCCGAGTGTGGGAAGGCTTTTGTGGAGAGCTCCAAGCTCAAGCGTCACCAGCTGGTCCACACTGGCGAAAAACCTTTCCAGGTAAAATGCCGTGCATGCTGTCACGATGAAATAAGGGATAGATTAACCTTCAGACATTTTTTAAAAAGTTTTACCTTTATGGTTAGATGTGCTCAACTTAATTATGGTAGTTTGCTGTTTATGCATTCATATAATATTTATAATAATAATCTTTTGAACAGGAAGGCTTAAATACATCCCAGCATTTTTTTTCAGAGAGTCCTGAATGAGATTTTTTGCTAGTTACCTCGTGGAAAATCCAGATTTGAGGAGGTAACATTAAACATCGATACAGATAATGTGTCAACCCCTTTGAAGTTTATTTTTCTTTGCTTTTGAGTTTCGGTTGCATTTACATGTTATATACAATTAAAATTGTTCTATGTTTCAGTGCACATTCGAAGGCTGTGGAAAACGCTTTTCTTTGGACTTCAACCTTCGGACGCACGTTCGAATTCATACAGGTGACCGACCCTACGTCTGTCCCTTTGATGGTTGCAGCAAGAAGTTTGCACAGTCTACCAACCTCAAGTCCCATATCCTAACACATGCCAAGGCCAAGCACAACCAATGAACAGCGGAAATGGCCATTTCGCACAAAAGCATTTTGCCATATTCTGCAGGGCATTGCCTAACCTTGTGTGCCCCTTTTTTGCCTGAGCTGCAGCCAACCAATAGCCCTAGCAATAGGGCATGAACATATTCATAATTATTGACTGAATTGTGTATTTAAAATATATACTGCCCTAGAATATAATAACTTATAGTTTACAATCCTTTGCCACACCGTGTGGATTTTGGGGATTGACCGTACAGTTGGTGACGGAGTGGTGGCTCAGGACCGTTACAGATATCACTCGCTGCTGATGTACGTTGAACTTCTTTCGCATCATACGTCGCCAACCGTGCTAATCGGAGTTGCAAAATATGTCAGCCGTGGCAGGGAATCAAACTCAATTCGCCGGGTTCTTAGCGCAATGCACAAACCAATGCGCCACCACTCCACCCCAAACCTATAATTAAGATTTTAAAATATTTGGCCTGTAACCCAACAACATACTATATTTTGAATGTGTGATGTTTGTGAAAGGGCTTGTTTACTTGTGCTCTATATTGTACAGTAGAGGCCTGCAACTCTCAGACTACAAGATTTGTGATAGATTTTAAGTGTTTGTCTTGACGCTGAAATATGCACAGCATGTATTCTATGTTCAGCACGTGCACATGTGTGAACCAGGTTTTAAAAAATAATTTGTTATACACTTCGATATGCGTATGTAGTGTTTATTTGTCATGGTTAATAATTGGACAAATGCCATTTTAAAAAATATATCTCCTGTGGAGTGATATGTGACAACTGCACATACTCTTGTGTCTTAATTTTTTGCGTGTGATCCTTGACATTTTGTGAGCCTGAAATCGGCATTAATATGTTGGGTTCTGTCTTTGTATCCAACATACCAAAATCAAGAAACTACTTTGTAAAGTATTTAACGAAATGTATATTTTTGAATATAGTATTGAATAAGATGCAATAGATCGTAGCTCGGACTAATTCTGATCCCAGGTGGTTTTATAGGAAAAAGTACTAATATTTTTCGAGGTGTGTATGGTATCTGTTAACTGTTGTACAGTATTAAAACAACAGATCTGCTTGTTGGAACTGAAACTATTAGCCTTTCCCTATTGTACCCGTTGCAGTATTGGCTGTGCCACCGATCGTATTGCAGATGGTAATGTGCGGCACATACAGGCTTCAATAAACTTTATATCCCATTCTAAGTGCGTGCAATTAATTTCCCATTCATGTTGTTACTATAGAGTTCAGTTCTTGTACAGCATGTTTCAAGAGGCCACTTTCATTTTCAAATACACTTTTTGAAGTCAAAAACATGTAGAATTTATATGATGTAAAATATTGTTAAAATATAACGATGTTACCACAAAGTGTGTCTTAATTAACCGATGTTGCTGTTATGTCTATAATAAATTGCACTTGGAACCTGCATGCAGTGGGTTTATACAAATTTCCACACTTAAAATTCACATTTTTTGATGATCATTGTATGCCTAGTTAAACTCTAGATGTATTCTTTATTTTTACACTTGTTTACCCAGGAAGCTCTGCAACAAGTAGAAAACGTTACCACTGGACAGTGTCACGGCCTCAGAAACTCCACAACCGATGCAGTAAATGAAATCCCAACAAACTGAAGGCAGCATTTCACATCGCTCTTTAATAATTGCAGCAAAGTGTATAATAATATTATTGTTCAATTTGCTTGCAATTATTCCACAAGGGTGCCTTATCAAACATTGTTTCAGTCAACATTCACACCTAGTTCTGAAAAGGGGGGTTGTGGATAGATTTATGAATGTTAGACCATAGTGTATGTATGTACAACTTATTTTGCATTGTAATTAGCCAACAGTGCTAATGGCTCTGAAACATTTGAAGTAATTTTAATGCACCACAAACTATTTTTCCCAACATAAACTCAGATCTCCCCATTGTTGACCTCACTTAATGTTCCCAGCCTATACACAGCCATTTTCACTCTTTGCAGAAATGGAGTTTGTGTCTTCATCAGAAATCACGTCTCTTTAACACTGGCATGTTCCTGATTCTCTGGAACTGGTTTTGATCTTCCGTGTGTCCGCATCTCTCATTTTTTGGTCTGATTCAAATCTCCTGCCAAACACTGGATTGGTTGGCACGCTGAGGTGAGTGGTGAGTGTGGTAAGTGTGCATTTGTGAGTGTGGTGGGTGCATTTGTGAAATATACAAAATAATGCATGGATTTGCCAGTTAAAAATAATTCACAAGCAATTACTTTGTGGAAGATCCAACGCAAGAAGATCCCTGAGTATGATCTTCGAATCTCATGGTCCACCCTAAATCGCATCCGCACAAATCATGGCAATAGGTGCGGGGGTACCTGATGCACAAATTAGAAAATTAAAAACTCTCCAGTAGTGTGCGACTCTGGTCATCCAGAACAGACGGTAACAACATATAATGACAATACCCCGATCCACAAATAGGAAGAAGACATCCATCACAAGCGATACACTTACTCTGGCTTCATCTTCTTGATTCTTTCGGTAAAGTCACGTAAAAGGGAAATATTCAAAAAATAAAACATAATAAAAAACAATTCTCACGACGTTTCGGCCACAACGTCGTGAGAATTGTATTTTATTATGTTTTATTTTGATTATTTTATCATTTCCCTTCTACGTTACTTAACCGAAAGAACCAAGAACATGAATGCCTGCAGTCACGAAAGCTTTAAATCGAAATTTACTCTGGCTTTACCACCTGAATGCGAAATTGTAGTTGTCTGTGCATCAGCAAGCCTTCGGTAACACGAAGTTAGTGGACGCTAGAGAGCGCTAGGGAGCCGCGTTCTAATCTCTCACCGTGGTTATCGGTGCGGACAAACGCGTATCGCTATTCTGTTGCTAAAACTTCTCCCCACGCACGCTAGACGACGTCTGCGTCTCGTCCACCTTTTGCTCGCCTCTGACCCCGTTGATGCAGCCCTCGGTACGCGGTGAAAAGTCGGCACAAGTCTGCGCCGTACACCCCAGCGCCGGTCAACGGGACGTGCGCGCCCCCGGGTGAGCTCGTCCTAGAACGGCCAGTGGTGCTAGGCAAGAGCGTAGGCCTCGAACGCCCGCGTAGGCCGCAGCAATATTAACATCTTTAATGTATGAAGATGACATTACGATTGCGGTATTTTCTTCGTGCTGAGCTGTATTAGTGGTTACTAACAATAATACACGTTGTATAAACAGTAATATATCCAATGCCCTTTTATAACAATTACTGTAGTGCAATTGAAATGCGATAATGGCTTGGTAAGATACTATTTTAAACTAAAGGCACCTTTCACAGTCCACTGGCTGTAGCATAAACTTTAACCACCAGTCATTTATCATCATAATGCCACACATTGCTTTGTGGCAGTTGTGTCCATTGGTATCGCCCAAGCCCTGCAAGCTCAGCAGGGGGCATCTCAACCCAGCCAGCATTTAGGAAACGTTTCTGATTTGCAACTAAAATTTTGATTATTTTTTTGTTTGCAAGAGCGAGAAAGCCACGCAATGAAGGCACTTTTGGCGTACGGTGACTCCGATTCAGACGCAGAGGAATATGATACTGGTGAGTGTGGTATAACATCAAAGCACGCACAGAAGGCGTCGTCATCAAGTCTTCAAGTCATTGCTGAGAGCACATCCCACGGCGGTCAGTGTGTCATTGCCACGAAAAGTGGAACTGCCAGCAGCAGCAACAACATCAGCTGGTTGGGACTGACCCCTCTCAACACTGTGAACACCTGGGCACAGCACATTGAGGCACCCAAGCCCTGGACCTCATCTTCCACTCCTTGGCCACTTTTTGCAAAAAAGCAGGCAACTGCTGAGCAGAGAACCCATGGGTCGGAGCACTCCTCCAAGGGGAAACCCATCAATGTTGGCCCTCTCAGGCCTTACGTGCCAAAGAGACAAAGGCTCAGCGAGCAGGACACACGGCCACCTGAATTGCCTTCGCCCGGAGCCTCGCCACTTTTCGGGGCAATTAGACCGTACGTGTCGAAAAGACAGAGATGTGGAGATGCTGGTGACGCTGCAGACCATGGGGGTGGTTCTCAAGATGGGAACACCGGTGGTGGTGGTGGTGGTATTGGTGTGGGCCAGGGTGAGCTCGGTGGAATTGACGGTGGACAAGCCCAAAAGACGAGCAGTGGTGCAGCTGACCACAGAGCACTCATCAGGGGCATCTCGCCAGTGGTTGCCCCTTACCTGGACTGCAAGTATTCGGGCACGCAGTTGACAAGCCGGATCTACATGGAGCTGGCCGGCCACGGTGGGGCGGTGAATGCCCTTCGTTGGTGCCCTGTGCGGACCCAGAGCCACCTGCTGTTGACCGCCTCCATGGACAAAACTGTCAAGGTGTTTCACGCAGTAATCCATGGCTGTGCACGATACATTTGAAGGCTTTGAATTGGACCCCTTCCCCGTGTATGTAGGGGCTGTCCATAAATGACGTCACGCACCTAGGGGGGGGGTCAGACATTTGTGACGATGTGTGACGAGGGGGGGGGGGGGTTGGGAAATGTGGCGTCACATCAAAATGCGCAACTTTAAATAAATATAGACAACACTTAATTAAATTTACTTTTTAATAAATGTTTTATCCTACAACATCAGAGTGCAGCGCCATATTAAATACGCACTACAATGACAATAGTTTAAAGCGATTTGAAGCATTTTTTGTGTGGGGGGGGGCAGAGCTTTGTGACGTCATATTTGAGGGGGGGTCTAACTTTTTGTGACGTCGTGTGACGAAAGGGGGGGGGTCAAAAATCGTCGCGTGACGTCATTTATGGATGGTCCCATACCCCTGTGACCACCAGATCGCTGAAATTAGTCCGATCTCATTAGGTTTGTTGTACTACCATGCACCCGCGTCTCTACACCGCACTTGTCAGCGCAAGTTGGTGAAATCAGGACGCATACACATAGGAGAATTGAAGTCCAGTACAACAATTTATTTATTTTCTCCAATGGCCATATGCATATCAATAGCTCAGTGGGCCTTAGCTGGTAAAATAACAAAAAATTGTTTAGTTTCTGTAGCCTCAAAATATTTATGTCTAAATGTTTTTAAATCATTTTACCGTTTTCGACGTTTACCACTAGATGGCGGCAACTGCAAATGTGTTTAATTGTGAATGCTGGAATGCTGTCGTTTGACGGAAGGGACTTCACAATGTCGCTTATGCAAACGCTATTCTGGTAGGAACCTCCTGGTTACACCAGCCCACAGGGGATTATTGTGTCCGTCCGTCCGTCGTGAATCCAAAAATGGGAGGGGTTGGGGCTGGGTGGAGAGGGGAGGGTGGGGAGGGGCTGGGTGGAGAGGGGAGGGTGGGGAGGGGCTGGGTGGGGAGGGAGGGGCTGGGTGGGGGGTGGGAGGGGTGGGGCTGGGTGGGGAGGGGCTGGTCACCCCGTGGTGCCCTTATAAAACTCAACGTTTAACCTACTCACGCCGGCTTGTGCCCGCCCTCACAGTCGACCATATTTGCGGAATACACGCCGCCGTTGACCCTGGCCATTGACCGAGCAACCCAACGTTCCTACCAGCTCCCTCCGCAGGAATGTGTTGCAGTACATGCTGAACATCACGCCAATCAATAATTGGATCGCACGTTATTATTGATTACACATTGAACCGGGTGTCTTTCATTGGGCACCAATTGACACCGTCTGCTGCAATCAGCCAATGCTCTTCGAAAAGGTGGCCAGAATTCTGCGAGTTAATTTAAGCAAATTATTGTGCACAAGTGCGAGTACAAAAACAATCCAACACTTTCGTCCATAAAACTACATTAAATGGGAAAATATGTATACGTGGCGACGTTTTGGGCAATGTTCCTGCTTCATAGAACATCGAGGTCAGAGAGATGGGCTATGAAGATGGGTGATTGCCAAAAATATCATCAAGTATATATGTGTTTACCCATTTAACGCTTAAGGCAGTGTTTTTGACTAATGTGTTGAGTTTTTTTGTTCCAAGTTGATTTAAGTGATTGAAAAGTAAAGCGAGAGTTTAGTGATGTCCAAAGTACACAAAAAAGATTTCGTGAACAGGGTAGTTTGCTCCATACTGTCTTTTCCCAAGACCTAATTCCACGTTTAAATGACAATTTTTACAAATGTAAACATTCAACCCGCTTGGCTCTTTAGCTGACTTAACAAACGCTCATGTTTGATGTAGTCAAATGGCACCTGTGATGTCGACCGTCTTGTATAATACAATTTACATAAGGTGCGCGAACCTGGCCATTGTAATTGGATGGAGCCAGCTTGCTATGCCACTTTTCAGTGGCTCACCGGTTGCCAAGGGAGAAACGCATTAATTTGTGTTAGCTTCAATTTAACTACTTTCTGTGCAAACGCAGTGGCAATTAAAAAGAAGCGTGCGGTGCAAATTGGACACGCGACGAATGACATTTTGAGAGTTTCATGTTATTCTCTGTTTAATTACCTCCGGATATGCCTCGACAGTGACTCTTGGCAGGGGGCCAGTATATTATGTCCGCATCCCAATGTGCTCTTTGATATTGAGTGGCTCCACACCTATCTGTTATTATTAGTATCACTCCATAGAACCTCAAATAAGTACCTGGTGTGGTGTGTAATCATCGCCACTGGGAAGACAAAGGCGGTCGGGCGTCGTAATGTCCATCAAACCCCTCGTTTGCCGTTCCGGCCTTCATAGGTGCTCGCTAACAGCACTTGCCCCAACAGTCTGTAAAGGCTACATGGGGGATCGTTGTATTTATCTTTGTCTTTTGTTTTGGGGTTGTATAGCAGTTAGCATGCTGTGCATTAACTCATTGGCTATAGTTGTGTAATGTCAGCGGAGTGGGAGACAAAGTTTTTTAGGAGCACCTTCTTTATTAACACCTTCACAGGTTCGCCCTCGCTCTCTCCCTAGTCGTCTAGCCTAGCCTTAACACAACCCTGACCGTGTAACACTGATGGCGCCGGCCAAGACAGCCAACAACTATCCGGCCGCGCAATATCTAGCGAAGACGGGAGCGACGAAGGTGGCGAAGACGACAGCGACGACGAGACGAGTTGACTCCCAGAACCGGCAGCCACGAGCTCCCGCTCTCAGCCGCTTTTATGCTACCCGGTGCGGCCTGGCTCTGCCCTGGCCGCGCTTCTCTTCTCGAACCCACTAGCAGGTTCCAGGGGCTTTTAGATAGGGTCTTCCATGACCCTTGCCCCAGTTCCTCCGCCCTGCCGGCACAACAGTGTATATGCTCACGGCGTATGTACTGCTCGTCCACTGCAGTTGCCGTTTTTGGACAACAGTCGGCACTTTTACACTACATCTGTATTCCTGGCCATGACTAACAACATTGGCAAGGAATATCTGGGCTGGTCCTGCCCTCACATCAGCTATAGATGGATTCCTGGCCATGACTAACAACAGTGGCAAGGGATATGAGGACTGGTCCTACCCTCCCCACCCCTTTACCAACTCGCATTGACCATTCTGGTAAAGCTTGGGTCAAAACACCCCCATTAAAAACATGGCATGGGGAGGCCTTCATCCATTAGTGGTTTGAGAATGGCATGAACTTGGTTATTTTTATTTTATTATTTCCACCGAACCAGTTTGAATTTCATTTATATTTTTTTACAGTTTTATCGCTGTTACCAGACTCGGCTGGCAATTTGGATTTCGTTAATGCACATTTAACCGGGACAGAACTGAAAAGTATCCTAAGGGGGTCTTGAAAAATGATCAGCAATGCATCATTTCCCATAACATGTATCGCAAAACTCGGCAACCACGGCAAAAAATACAACCTACACGAAATGTAGGTGTGGGATTGCGTGGTATGTGGGGTGGTGTACATAACGGCACCTGTGCATTACGGCACCTGTTTTTAAACACTGGATTGAGGTGACATGACCGAGGTTGTGGTGTGCACAGGTGTGGGATGGTGTGGGTCATGGGCTGTGCGTGCAGACCCTGCGGCACCACACTGCTGCAGTGCGGTCTGCACTCTGGATGCCGTGCGGAGGCCGTGTCCTCACCGGCGGGTTTGACTCTGCCACCTGCCTGAGCGACGTGGAGACTGGTGAATAATTATTCTTAGGTTTTTTCGGTAAAGTCACGTACATAAAAAATTACAATTAATAAAAGTAAAATAAAAATAAAATAAAAATCACGTTTCGGAGGCAACGCAAGTTTCTGTCTTCAGGTGGAACCGTCACAGCACGATAGCTGTATCAAGTAAGAGAAATTCCAAGAAAACGGTCCTTGTATATATTCTGATTGAGGGTGGGAGGAGCCAAGGTAGGCCCTGAATATTATTTTTGTGAGGTTCGGTGCGGCTGAAGCACGCTGTTCGGAATGAGCCTTTGTTGTGTAAACTAGGTGCGGCTGATGTAAAGGTGCGTGGTGAATAATTACCGGCTCGCCTGATAATTAGGTTGAGAATTGCCTGTGCCACAAGGCAGACTAATTTACTTGTGCTTTAAAAGGAAAATAAAAAATATGGACTAGATAATGAAACGTTTGTATCTATTTCCAGATGTAATACATTTGCATAGAACATTTATAAACAGATTCTTCCATTTGGTCCTGAGCAGCGTGTACTCAGAAATGGTTCAAAGTTGCTTTGAAGGTCTTGCGATTAGAAGTTTGGGATATGTGTTTCAAGGTATAATGACTATGCACCTCAATTCATATTGTTGCTCCGGGCATTCATAATTGCACTGTTTACTTTTGTTTTCACAAAATTCAATCACGCTCTGTGCTCCGTTGTGTTTCGTAGGTCAAGTGATGGCCAGGATCGACCATGGCTCGCAAATCATGTGTTTGGCCTTGCACCCCTGCCAGCCGAACCTGTTTATCTCAGGAGGCTTCAGCTCTGCAGCAAAAGCCTGGGACTTAAGGACCTGCAAGGTACTGGCAGATCCCATCCCATGTTTCATTGCATATGCACACTAAGCATGGGTTTGAGTCATACTTTTTGAACCCAGTATTTTTTTATCCCTCTTCTTCCTTATCACAAGGGCACATGTGTCTGTTTATTTTTTATCTTTGGCTTTTTCATTCATTCCTCTTAAATTGTCAATACTATTTGCAAGTCAATTTCAATATTTTCCAGATCATTGTTGTTCCTCTATTTTCAATTCCCTGCTTCGCTTTATCCAATCTCAAAGATCAATAATGGCATTAATGCTTTGCAAAACACAATTAAATACCGGTCCATCTTCGTTGCATTCGCTAGCCTCCATTGAATAAAAATGACAATACAGTCACTTCTATTTTAACATTCCGGGATTTTGGTGGTGGCTGCAGAGTTGAGATAACCACACAATTAGGCTGGTGCGTCGAGGTTACATGTGGGCCAGCGTTGGGATCCCCGCTCTGTGAGAAAATTAATCTCCCGAATTTCATCAGTAGTCTCGGCGGGCTGGAGAGTTGTGGAGAGGGCTTTGGGGATACATAAGAACAATCCGTAATTGTTGCAAGGTGAGAATAGTTTTTTTTTGTCCCAAAACATACTTTAGCTGATTAACATAATGAAGATGATTTTCAATTACTAAAATAATAAAATAGGTCAGAGTGAATGTCATTTGGATTCTCCAGAGGTTGTCTCAGCTGCCTTTTTTAAGTTGGAGGGTAAGTGTCCTTGCGAACCCATGAAAGATATAAATTTAGGAGAGCACATATAATGGCTTATTTCCCATTGTCCAAAAGTTTGGAGTAGAGTTGCCCTTTTTTAAATCCTTTATATTAAGTTCGCTTGCTTGCTTGCGTGCTTGCTTGCTTGCTTACGACCGTGCAAATCTTTCGGTCGTTTTTTAACCCACTTCCCGTGATCCAATCGAGCTGACATTTTCCACACAGACTCGTTGTGCGTGACAATTAATTTTCGTGAGAAAAAAATTCCAAAATTTTACACTGTTTAGGGAATTTTTTTTTTATATTTAATTACCAATTGCTTAATGCTAGCAGACAATCATCTGACCCATAGGTGGCAGCCATCTCAAGCCAGAGGACGAGAGGACTCTAGCCGCCACGCATATAAAGGATTTAGAGTGAAAAACTTTGTTTTTACGGGTTAATTTTTATCCTTTGATGTCAACCCCAATATCAGCCAGGTTTGTTTGGCTGAGTGATCTAGAAAATGTTTCTGCACCCAGCACACCACAGCCAGTATGCCTCTCTCTCTCCTTGTCTGCGTCTACCAGAAATGTGACACCTACTCCAGTTTACCAGCAAAAATAATCGATGAGAGATTAATCCCAGGGCTATACGTACTGTGTACTCTTTGACAAAATGCTGACGACCGCTGCTGTTGATGTGTTTCACTCATAGGCACTGCGCGAGTTCCGCGCGCCCTGCCAGCAGGTGCTGGCCATGCTGTTCCTGCGCGGAGGCGACGAGTTCATCTCCAGCACGGACGCTGTCAGCCGCGACTCGCCCGACCGTACGCTCCTCGCTTGGGATCTCGGCACAGGCGCGCGCATCTCTAACCAGATCTTCCACGTGCGTGCCCTTCACCGTACCTCATTACACCTGATGCACTCGATATAACAGCGGTGTATGCAAGTGGTTTTTATTTTCAGGCTTTCATGATGAAATCGTCTAAAATTTCCCCCAATCTCATCAGACCTTGGAAGCTAAGCAGTTCTTGTTATTTTTATTATTTGCACCTGTATACCCAGGAAAGCCTCGCTTTCGCAAGGTCTTGCTAAGTTTCTGCAGTCGGGGATGATGATTACTACTACGTACATTCAAGTTGAGTCATTTGCGGGTAATTTTTTTAAGATTTGGAAATTTGGACCCTGATGCCGGCACATAATGGCCCATTCTTGCAAATGACAGCACAGGACCCATTATGTCCACCGTGAATCAGACACTGCGTATATTTATGAATACACTCGCAGTATTAATCAGGTTGGCCACTGGATTTGAACCATGAACCTGCAACAATGTACAACCTCTAGGCCACGTCAGCAGGTGGATAGTGCTGAGCTGGGTGACCACTCTCTGCATCAGGTGGTTATAGGCTGCCAGGCTATGTGGATAGCAGCAGAAGGTAGCGCAGCAAAATCGATCGTTGTACTGCACTCCTGTTCTCCCTACCTTCACTCGCCCTTCACTGGCCAGTGTGGTGGCGTAAACACGATCCTTACGCTCGCGATATTTCCATCGATCGCATGTGCAAAGATCAATTATTATTTTAGATTCATATATGTTACATGTGATTAGCTCACGTGATTCGAAACAATGCTTAACAAAAAATTGTTTTCTGAATTTAATCGTGAGTGGGAAATTGTGACAATTATTTTTTCTCGTTTGCCCATCTTCTCCATTCAATTACAGATTGAGTGTCTATTGGTGCACAATTAATGATATGTTTAAATGTTCAGCTGCAACAGTGGTGGGCCTAAAGATTGGACTTGAAAATTCAGCACTTGGGTGTCAGTCAGTCTTTAGATTTTTACTGTCTCCCAGAAATCCACACAGGGCAGCATTGCTATGCATGCTGTACATCAGAGAACGGACTGTATAATAAGCTCTAACATCAGAAAGTAAAGGTTTTGTATATTGATGTCATCTCTAATTTTAAATCGATTTGAAAATAAAAAAGCACATTATTTGGTGATGCTGCTGCCTTGGCAGTGGTGCACACGCACAAATTAACCCAAAAAATCAACACATTTGTCAATAACACTATGGCCTTAAAAGGAAAAAAAATGTAATCGTCATCGTTTCGAAACATGGCCCTTTATAGCACGTAACGATTTGAAGGCATTGCTATTAATGCATGTATTGAGATTGTTTTACATAAACAATTAATCAACTATGATCAAGGTCTTTGTATGGTTGCACAGCAATAGAGGCACGGAGACCGAGTAAGATTTAAATGAGGTGAATAACAGGAATACGTTGTCCACGCTGCTTTACCAAACACTGTTGTCATGACACCTCGGGCAGATGCTAATTAGAATGAAGAGTCACCAGGGAGGGCATTTGTCTCTAGATGAGTTTAACCAAGCTATATATATATATATATACCTTCTATCTCCATGACCCTTTTTCTGGTATTAAGATAATAAAAAAACAAGTGAGGCTTTTACCCTTTAAGACAAAACGGGTCCAGCATATAAAACTACTTAAACCAAAATATGAATGCTTTGGAATTTGCAGCACCCTTTTGCCGTTCGCCTTTCGGCGCTCTTATGTCTAGCAACCGGTGAGACAAAGCCATCAAGGAGGCTGCCTCTGGTGTAGGCCAATCATTTGCAAGGACAATATACATTATCAAAGCATATTTGTTTGAATGTTTACCAAAGGTATGGGTGGTTAATGCAGAATTTAGATGCCTTATAATTTGATGTTTAACATCTTAACACCTATATTTTTGCCAGAAAGGGTAAAACCTTTTTTAAAAATCATTATATAAGCCTTCTATTGAAAAAAAGCCTGTCATTCTGCAAACATTCATGAGCTTTACCTGAAGTTAATCAATAATGGTAGTGTGCAATGGTTGACTGTCACATGACTTATTGGTGTGTGGAGTGGGGGGCTTGCCCTAGCTCGTATGATTGAGAAGGCCTTCCGTATATATGAGGATAACATTTCACTGCTATTTTTCCATCTTAAAATGTAGGTAGCTGTAAATCCATCAAAAGATGAATGTAGTTTCATCGATGATTTATAGCTGTTGAGGCAGCCCCGTCGTGCAAATACTTTAATAACGTGTCAAAATGTAATAAGAATTTTCCATTAAATGTTGATGTAAGCACTTAACCCTTCATACATGTAATTGAATTTATTATATTATCCATTTTGTTAATTATATATGCAGTTGATGTTTCATTTTCAATGAATTGATTATATTGATTGTCGACCTCTAAGGAAAAAAAAATCACTTTTTTTTTTATTCTAATCATGGGCCAAAATATCAGCGTTAGCTGTTCAAATGGGAATTGTAAACGATGCAAATGTTATTGTTGATCCATTAACACAATATACATTGCTGTTATATGTGCTCTTCAGGAAGACCATTACAAGGAACTTTACAATCCAATAGAATCTCGAAAAATGCCATTGGCCAATCAGTCCAACTCAAAGATAAGCTAACTCAAACATCCATAATAGAGGTGTTTTTTGAAACAGGTGAACTTCTCCATAAATCTGGCTGTTGCCTGATGAAGCTAGTTGTAAGTAATTACTGGCGAAACGTCGTACTCAGATTGTAAATGTTGTGGCTTGGCTCTCCAACACACCGGTTAGTGCTGTACTAGTGACGAATTGGCACGTTCTGTTTACGTGACAACCCTCACTAGTTGGCTGTGTTGGGTGGTGGCGGGTTTTAACGACACATTTATATATTTACGCGATCTAACCCAAAAACACCTCTATTATGGATGGTATTGTTCGCGAAAACCTACGTGTTAAACCAACTCAAACATGTTTAAATACAATTATTTAAAATATGTGTTTGTGTCAGCATTCCTGTCCCAGCAATCTTGATGTGATTTGGAACAGAGTTCCAGAGGCAGGTGAGCACCTCTGATTAGCACACTTGACGACGTATGTGTGACAGAAGTTCAACATACACACAGCTCACTTTCTGACGTGTCTGTGGCTTTCGATTTAAAGCTTTCGTGACTGCAGGGATTCATCTTCTTGGTTCTTTCGGTAAAGTCACGTAGAAGGAAAATAATAAAATAATAAAATAATAAAACATAATAAAATAATTCTCACGACGTTTCGGCCACAACGCAAGCAGCCGTCTTCAGGTGGAGAACAGGTCTGTCGAGAAGGCAGAGTCATTCAGAGTCATTCAGACTCTGCCTTCTCGACAGACCTGTTCTCCACCTGAAGACGGCTGCTTGCGTTGTGGCCGAAACGTCGTGAGAATTATTTTATTATGTTTCATTTTTATTTTATTATTTTCCTTCTACGTGACTTTACCGAAAGAACCAAGAAGGTGTCTGTGGCTCTTGGTCAAAATGGCACTTAGTCCTGGACCATAGGTGAATAAGGAGCACGCGCTAAGAATGGAACTAGCGAGCGTACATGATTTACTTGCTCGCAAGCTTATTTAACATGCGACTCTCTGGCCGTGGATAACACTGGTCAACACACTTTTTCTGGCATAAGGTATTCCAACGGTTTTAAGGTAATTTTGGGGTGCTGATTCCAAATCTGGCATCAGTTTTTGTCTATCACATCAGGTTTTTGAGATATAAAATATTGCATTTTCAATAAAACTGCAGAAAAAAAAAATGTGGATTTCTACATAAAATGATATTATAAACACACTATCCTAAAAATACAGCACCATATTTTAACACTAAAGCAGTCACTGACTCGCAACAACTTGCAATCATAAGTGACAGAATTAATTTCGGGTAAAATCAATGAAAATGGGTTATGCCGATAGCATAAAAATTAGATGTGATAGAGCAAATCTGAGATCAGATTTGGAATCAGCACCCTGAAATTAGTCTAAAACAGCTGCAAAAGTCCAGGCCAGAATTTATTTATTTTTTTGTTGACCAGTGTAATCAATAATGAACTGTAGGTAGAATGCACAATTTAAACATCAATGCTGCATTTTGCAGGAAGCCAGTGCAATGATCAAAGAGCCGGAGTAATGTGTTGGCATCTCTTGTTGTTAAGAATGGTGATGTTTCATGAACTATCCCCCCCACCTTACCCCTGGCCTGGCCTGTGTGGACAGGGGTTAGGTGGACATCTGTGAAAAAAGCAACTTCATAGCTCATGGGATCCCTCCAGTATAAATACATATTTTGATTCTGACAGGAAAGATACACGTGTCCCAGCCTCTGCCTCCACCCGCGCGAGCCGGTGTTTGCGGCGCAAACCAACGGCAACTACATCGCGGTGTTCTCCGCGCAGCGACCGTACAGCATGGACAAGAAGAAGCGCTTCGAAGGCCACACGGTTAGTTCTCTGGCTGGGGTGTGGGGGTCGTAGGTCAAAGGGCAAGGTGAATTTGGCGAAAGGGACATCGGTGTTCCTTGCGAGTCTCTTTCCTGCGTGAAGACATTGCTACTGCGTTGCTGTAATTTGTACGATTGTGTTAACTGCGTTTGGTGAATTGTCACTATACGCTGGCTGCAATTTAATTCTGCAATTGATTATTCTGGTGTCGTCTTTACTCTCTCATTTATATCATTGCTCATGTTTTTTTTTCTCATTTGACTTTTTCATGCCATTAGCCAATATGTTTCATTTACATATCACACTATTTGCATAAAATTTGCATAAGTATTGTACAAATTACACACAACATCAAGATGCATGTATCAATCGATCATAGGCATTTACATATACCAAATAAACGACAATTCACCAGAAATCACCAATTAATGAAGATAACCAACTGTATATTTTTATCGCCCAATTCATTCATAAATGAATAAAAAAACTAATTTCAGACTAGGTCAAAATCACAACAAGCCCGGTAATAATCCCCTGCTTAGTATTCCAACGCTATCTCGGCCACGTCTTTTCTAATAATTTGCTGGCAATTTGGTGTCAAGGATGCATACTTGCCATGCTCGGCTTAACATATTAGCAAGCCGGCTGAGCAGGTATTTAAATTTTAATTGAACTGGACAGGTCTTTAGCGCGGGCCAGGATGTAGCCGCACAAACTGATAAATACTCGATGGCAGGCGTGGGACGTGCGGCCTCTTATCTTTAATGAGAATCATTCTCGCCAGAAATGAGTAAGAGTGATTGACGAGGCCCAGGTGCGCTGGAGGTAGTTATCGCGCGATGGGCTGTCACCCAGCGCAGTCATGTTGCCGTTGTCACGGTCAGACACTTTTAATGGATTGCACAGTCTACCTTTAAACCATCGCTTTGGGAATATTATTTAAGGACCTCTTTGCCTCTGTCGGTGACCATAACAACTGTGGAACTTATATTTTCCCCGCGTTTTGTTTTTTGTTTACGTAAAACTGCAGTGCTTGTGCGTGTACAGTAATAGCTCGATGTACGAAGTCGATGCGTTCCTTGAGCTTCGCCCGGATAATGAGTTATATTGAATAACTTATAACATTAGTACATGAGGATGCGTTCCCACCCTTCGTAACTTACAATTTCACACTATAAACCCTTCATAACTTACCATTCATATTATAAATAAAGACAATTTACATTGAAAGTAATATTATATTTTATACTCTACATGATTAAAATAAAATAAAAAACTGACAAATAAAAGAAACATTGTGGAGAAACATAATTATATTCTTAATTATAGAGCACTATAGATCCGGTCTTGCCAACCCAGACTGACCTGCATGACGGTTGAACAACCCCCGTAACCAACATGTCCTGGGGTGGTGGTGGCCTTCATCCATTAGTGGATTGACAAAGGGCTGTATATTTTCTCTGATGGGTTTTGGATTTTTCCTGAATGTCTGAGAGACGCATGAGACATCGTACTGAATAACGCATGGTATAACCCAATAGCAGAATCTGAATATTTATTTCCACTGGAGGAATCTGAAGAGCTCTTTTTCTCGAGATGTTCAAGTACAGCATAGAGCTACACAGCAGAAAAACTGCAGCAACTTTTTATTTCGATGTTAGTGTTTATGAACAAGAATTTTGTTTGGTTGTTATGATTCATGCGTGCACAACAGTAAACCAGCAACCAAACAAATTAAAAATAGACGCACACGCCACGCAGAATCAGCAAGTTACTTTTTACACGCCTGCCATTTGCACGCATTAGGTCAACCACAGGACGACTAAGGCGTAGAGTGGTGGGTGTTGCTGGGGAGGTTTAATTTTCACGAGGTTGATGGGGTTGGGTCTGAACGTTTTTTAACGCACATGGTTGAGTACAGAAAGGGGGCGGGGGGGTTGGGGGGGGGGTGCAGGTTGAGAGGACGGTGGGAGGCAGAGAGCGAAGCGCACAAGATAGCCCTTGTACACCTCTCGCCCGCGCAGAGACACGGGAGACGCTCGGAAACTCGGAAGCTCTCGTGAGCCGCGCGATGAGCCCCGTGATTAAGAAAGCCGCCGCCGCCATTAGCGTGACGGATGGGCGCGACAGGGACTTTGGGTGCTCGGTTATTCTGGCTACCGTCGTGATTGATGGCTCCCTTCGTACGCAAGAGAACAGTTCTGTATCATCCTCCCAGGCTCTCTGGCTCGCTCCGACTCCCCCCGCCCTACCCTCGCCCGCCTCCGCCGCAGAGTCCCCGCTTGCCTAATTGTGTTACCCCCTGCAGTGAAATGTAATATGTAAAATAAGAATTGTAAATGCACACGAAAATATAGAATTGTTTTTTTGTTGTCGCTGCTGATGCTGCTGCTGCTGCACGAGCCGCGCCACTTTTTTTCTGTTGTAGGGTGCTAGAGAAGTGTTGCGATGATCCGAATGGTTTAAGCGGTTTCGGGAATTGCGAGGGTCGTTGCCATTCAAGGGTAGCTCCACATTTTAGTGGAGCTGAAAAAGAGGATTACGCGCTCATCCAAAAGGAAATTAAATATTCATTAAAGTCTTGCACTTGGCTTGGGGGAAATAGATTTTGCCCTTTGAAAAATAAGCCTTTTAAGAGAATTAAATTGTGGCTTGGTAGACTTTTGAAATATAAATACACAGTGTGACCCAAAAGTCAGGGCACTATCGAGTTATTTCATTTCTTTTAATGCTGGCATTAAAACATTTAATTGTTTTAAGTTAATATTTGATCTATTATCATTATTAACATATACATATATATATTTCTTCCTTTTCAGGTGACATTTACAAATGGAATTTTAAGTGACTAATGACGAACGAGTTCAATCCGTTTTTATGTATGCAAAAGAAGGCAGCTGTAATCTTCTTTTTTAAGTCCTGCATTTATGTCAAAAGAGAATTCATGCATGCATTAATGTTCATGGAAGGCAGCTTGAATATTTGTTAAAATAAATGAAATCGCTTTATGTGAGTTGTTAAAATAAACATAATCACCCTACGTCCTCACTTTCGGACCACTGTGTGTATAAAGTCACGTGTTATAATTTTCCACTTGTTCATGATACCTAAAGAACTAGGCAAGGGCCAAAGTTCTTACAATGTTACCACAAATTAAATTGCTGATTGCTTGAAATTTGACATAAATGTGAAATGGACCAAAAAATGGAATTCATTCATCCAAATTATAGCAGCGTGCAACAATTCTAGGGTGTTGTCTTCGTCTATAGAGTTAGAGTCCAGAGGTTGGCGGTTCGATTCACTCTCCCGCCGTGGCAGTTGAAACAATCCCCAAATATCTTAAATGTCTGTCCGCCTCAGAGGTCGCAACCGGGTACCCGATACCCGTACCCTACCCGATACCCGGCTACCCATACCCGGCCGGGTACGGGTACCCGTTGCGACCCTGGTACGGCCGGGTACGGGTACGGGTACCCGTTTGCGACCCTGGTGCGGCCAGGTACGGGTACACGTAAGGAATCAAAACCCGTTTGCGACCTCTGGTCCGCCTTGAAGTATAAATAGATTACACCACAGTTGGTGATAGCAGGTTGCTTGTGGTGGGGTAAACTGTGGGTACTCCCACCTTCTTCCACAATTCCTGGCCAGCATGGAAGGAGGCCTTTCCGCCAGCAGTGGCATGAGCTAGTCATTGAAGGGTTGAACCTTTACGCATTCGTTTAGAAAGTATCGCGCACTGGGAATATTAAATGTGACGCCTTGTTGGGTTCAATCTTGTGTTCGTGTTTCTGTCAGCTTTGGGGCCATATGACATTAAATAAATAAAATAATTCAGTTGATTTCATTGGGCGTGCAGTCCCACACGAATGTAAAGGAAAACACCTCGAAGTGGTGGAATGTCTGAAAGTTGCCAATTGTATATTTGCCAACAGAGGCATTTGGTGTCGAATCTACGAATGAAATCTGTTTAGGTGGCACTGCGGCAGAGCACCCAACTATCTTCAGAAGGTCACGGGTGTCAAATTCTAGATGTGTGACTCAACTCGTTCCATCATTCCTCCAGGGTGGATAAACGTGATACGTAATGAATGAGCCTTTAGGAGTGTTTTCACTTCCCCCCTGTTATGGATGGACAGACATATCTAATTGAATAACACTTTCAACGTGAGAAAGTGTTACTAAAAAGACACGTTTAAACATTTGTCAATTAAAAGCAACACTTTGCGTCCTCCCCCCGGTGGGTTTTCTGGTCGCACCGCGCGTTGTTCAGCGCGGCGTTCAACATTTCGCTCCATGCGGTTGGAGCTTCGGTAGTCGAAGGTGCTGCTCTCCAGCATGTGTTTGTCTTCGTCGGCACGATTTCATCGGCAGAGCAGACCTGAAGATGGAGCAAAGCGCGCGGACATCGAGCCGAACAACGACACGTGGGGCGCTACCCGAAAACACAGACCGTGGAGACGCCACAGCGCAACCGCGTAATAAAACATTTGCATTCTCGCCCGTCGCGTGCCAGGTGGAGGGCTACGGCGTGGCGTGCGAGTACTCTCGCGATGGCTCCCTGCTGGGCACGGGCAGCGCCGACGGTTCCGCTCGCTTCTACTGCCCACGCTCGGGGCGCCTGCTGGCGTCGCTGGCGGCGCACGCCGGCGGGCCCTGCCTGGGCGCCACCTTCCACCCCGTGCTGCCCCGCACGCTCGCCACCGCCGGATGGGATGGCGGTGTTCGCGTCTGGAACTGAGACGGTGGGGAGAGAGAGAGGGAGGGAGGCGGCCGGACGGATGGCGGTGCAGCAGTGAATTCTTTATTTATTTGTTTGTTTTTATCCATGCGGAGCGCTGCCTGAGTGTTGTCCTCTTGCGCGGACCGTGGGTTTTTTTCCGACCACTACAAGTTCATCCTGTGTGCGAAATTGGCCGAACATCCCAATTCAGAACCCGACCTGAAGGAGAGTCCTGAGCCTCCGTGAGGCTGTTCTGGATAAAGAATTTGACACCTGTGACGTTCTGAAGCTAGTTGGACGCTCTGCCATAGTACTACCCAACGAGATTTCATTTACAGCTCTGACACCAATTGCCTCTGTTGGCAAATATACAATTGGCAACTTTCAGACATTCCACCAGTTAGAGGTGTTTTCGTTTACATTCGTGTGGGACATCACGTCCAATTAATTCAACTTCTTTTTTTTATGGCTCCAAAGCTGAAACAAACAAAACGCAGGATTCATGTCAACGAAGCGTCATATTTAATATGCATAGTGCGCGATGCTTTGCAAAGAATGGGCAAAGGTGCAGACCTGCAATTTATTTCTCAATCCACCGCTGGTGGAAGAGCCTCCACCAGAGGGAGCTCTGGAAAGCGCCTTCTCGTTGGGCACTCTTGGCCTTCTGTGCCATGCTGCTGGAAGAGGTGGAAAGTGCCCACACGGATAAAGGCGGAACGGTGACGGCGCATACTAACGGGACATGAAAGTGATGATGAGCAATCTGAGATCCTTGCGTTCACGATTACCCGACTTTGTTGCATTTCAGAAGTAATCCTGTCAATGATATGTTATCAAGCAATATCTGAACAAGTGTCTACAAGTGAAATGCAATCTTACATGTTGCCAATTTCACGAATAAACGTATATAACTCATTTTTAAGGTTCTTTGTGAATTATGCGTGCTGACAAGCAGATCATTGATTAGATTATTATTGCTAAGATGTATTCCTGGATAGGTACATTTGCTAGAAAAAGTAGCTTGTAATAAATGCTCCGACCGTGTGCTAATCTGCAAGCTGAGTGAACAGATGGATGCTATTGTGTTGGATGCTGCTGGTTTAATGTTATTGTTTCACTGCTTTAGGATAACGATTGTGAAGCCGTTAGGGGATGGATGATGACAGAAGGATCGGCTGCACAGAATGTGTGATGGTCTCCAAGATAGGTTTCTTACACCGTGTATATTCATGTGCACGTGACGATTATTTGAATCAGTCTTAGGCCTCCCCTAGGTCCATCAGCCTCAAATGAGTACCTGATGCAGTGTGTAAATATCGCCACTGTGGAGACAAAGGCGGCCGGGCGTGGTGCTGGCCGCCCACCCCCTCGTGTGCTGTGCCGGCCTTCAAAGGTGCTCGCTAACAGCACTTGCCCCAAAAGTCTGTTAAGGCTATGCGGGGGATCTTTGTCTTTGTTGCATAGCACTGTGCACAGTAGTTGGCACATTGCACTATGGAACATGGTGACCTGATTTTGATTCAACCTAATTATTTAGTGATGCTCCTGCTGCGTTGGCAGTGGTGCACAAGCGCAAAGAGCAAAAAACAACGAAACACATTTGTCACTAACACTGCCTTAAAATACAAAAATATATAAATAATATGCGACATTCTATGAAGAAGGGCTGTTGCCCAAAACGTCATGCATGGTTCTCTTTTTAAAGCAGTGTTATTGGCAAATGCTTTGTTTTCATTCCGGGGCTTGATTAGCATTTTTGGCGAATTATATCTGAACTTTCCTTGACCTCCCCCTGGGAGTCAACTTAAGGGAGGTGGCACAGTGGCCCAGCGGTAGCGTATTTGCCGCTTGTTGCAGATGTTCAATTCTATAAATATTGTAAAGCTCATTGGACAGCCTGGAAACAAGCAACCGTGACCCATCATGAACAACGATCTCCAGCGACAGTGGGGGCAGCTGGAGCAGCACCAACAAACTCTTAAGAGCAGCCAGGGACGCTGAGTCCATGGGCATCCTGAAGTGCCATTCTGGGCCGGTCTTAATAGAGTAGAACCTCGGAGATCGAACGCACCAGAACTCGAACAAATCGGTGTTCGAACGATATTTCCGAACATTTTTAGCCCCGGAAACCGAACGAAATTCAGAGGTCGAACGGGCAATCGCGACTTGAAAGAACCTGTACGGCTGAGACGCGTATGGCCCAGCGTGCATCATGCTTGCCCAGACAAAGGTTTTACCATGTGAGAGGCTCAGTTAACGCGTAGCTCTCACCCAGTGCAGACCCGCAAAACATCGTTCTTTAACTTTTTCGTTAATTTCCTTTATTTTAGTGTTTTTTGGTGTTTATACATACACAATGTCTCCTAAGAAGGTTAGTGGTAGTGATAAGCCAATGATAATACAATGTGTCATTTTCGAAACATCCTAAAACGGAGGCAGAAACAAACCTCTTTAGATAAGGTTTTAGTCAGAAAGAGTTCAAGTGACTCACAGTTAGTGGCAGAAAAGAGGCACAAAAGAGAAAGAACCCCAGAAGGGCAGTTACCCGACGTTATTATGGAAGGGGACTCCCAAACAATAACACCACCACCACCTCCTCCTCCTCACCACCTTCCACTCAAGCCATCAACTCTCCTTACTACAGGTAAAGTGAAGTTCAATGTTCATTTATTTCATTTATTCCATATTTATTCATTTATTCAATTTTTTATGCTTTTATACATGTTATTACTGTAAACTTGTAAAATGCTTTATAATGAGAGATTTCTTGTGTCTGGGACCAATTAATGTATTTTACATTCATTCTTATGGGGAAAATTAATTCGCTGTTCGAACAAATCGGTGTTCGAATGGCCTTCTGGAACGAATTAAGTTCGATCTCTGGGGTACCACTGGAGATGCTCGCTAACAGCACTCGTTCCAGTCGTCCATGCAGGCTGTAACAAGTGGGATCTTTGTGTGTGAATATCTACGCTTTTATGTGAATAAAATACCAGTGTTTATGATTTTATGCAGGCAAAATGAAAAAAATAATTGGCACAATATATCCTGCCACTACACGCACTGCAATGCTGCACTGCTCTTTTATGAGGGTTGCCTGACCGTGCAGTCGTGTTGGCTGAATTTCTGTGCCCTGAGCTAATGCTCAATTCAGAAAACGATCTTTGTCCGGGCGCAGTGCAAATTCTGTGATTTACATCATCTCATTTACTGGGGAAAATGCAGCGATTTCCGTCCCTTGAATGGGCCACAGTGGCAAGGCTACAGTGGTGGTGCTACAAATAAAAGCTAAAATAGCAAAAGCGTTGACCCACAAGTAGCTCAAGGGGACCTATATTCATGAAAACTTTAGGGGTGAACCAAAAGTACATTGAAATGCCTGTGAACATGAATGCCAACCCCATCATTGCATCTTGTTGACATCTGTCTCATTATCTCCCTTATGTCATCTTGCTACATCTATTATTTATTGTTCAAAGCCTACGTGTTAAATCTATCACTTATGTGTCTAGATAAATATATTCTGTCATCTCTGCCCAGGACCCCCCCCCCCCCCACACCAAAGGGCCAGCACCACCAATGCAGGACTCAATGGACCTTAAGTAATTAAATCGTGGCACAACTGCTGTGCACGGGCGGGCGGGCAACCTAGCGTATGGGGCGTTGAGAATGCCGCGTGATTCCATTCAGCAAATGACGAGAAAAAACATGGGTGGAGTTTGCGTGGGGGGGGGGGGGCAAAATGGAGGAAAGCCCCCCTCCCCAAAACTGGACACCTTTATTATTTTAGTTTCAGTAAATCTGGCTGTCGCCTGATGATGCTAGTTGTAATTACTGACTAAACGTCGTACTCGAGTTGTAAATGTGGATTTACTCTCCAGCACCGGTTAGTGCTGTACTAATAATGTTTTGTTTACGTGACAAACCTTACTAATTGGCTGTGTCGGGTGGTGGCGGGTTAACAACACATTTACCCCAAATATATAACTCAAACTCCGCCTATGGGGAAAAAAACAATCGCAGCAGAATAAAAATGAAAACAGCACCGGCTGGAAAACCATGCAGTTAAAATAACAACAGCAACAACAACAGATGGGTACACAAAGCACACAGCCTTTGTGCAAACATATAATTTGTGTCAGCAGTTCCTGAAGAAGTACACGGTGGTCGTCTTGTCTCTTGATCGTGATCTGACAAGAGCAAGCCCAGGACAGGGGGATCGCAGTGCACTTGATCAAGAAATGCTGACGGTTTTTCGCACGCGCACAATGGCTGTGTGCTTACTACGCGTGTTCGAGTTGTGTTTAAAACTTGATGTGTGATCCTTCCCCCCCCCCCCCCACTCTTGCCCGTCCCCCTTCCCTTTTGTGTTAGTTATCTTCCCCCTTACCTCCCCCCCATATAATCTTTCACTTGTCTGCTGGAGACTCCCCAAACCAAACCCTGCCGTGCCAATCTCGGGGCTTTTGATTTCTGGATTTATCCCCCCCTCGCCCCCGCACACTTCTTATTCTGTGATCGGTGCTATGTACCGGCCTCGCGTTGAGTTGAAATGAAAACAATTGAAAACTTGCCATGTAGTGATTTTGACAACGCCATCAACTCACGAGCCAGCCGCAAGTCCCCGGGACAGGACGGCATCACACCTGAGGTACTGAAATGTGCGAAACCCGCCGTCCTCACAAAATTCCATAAACTTCTCTGCCAGTGCTGGGAAGAAGGAGCAGTGCCTCAAGACAGGAGAGACTCCAACATCATCACCCTATACAAAAACAAGGGTGACCGTGGGGACTACAATAACTACCGCGGCATCTCCCTGCTGAGCATCGTCGGGAAAACCTTTGCCCGTGTGGTCCTCAGCAGGTTACAGATACTAGCTGAGAGGATGTATCCTGAGGCTCAGTGTGGCTTCAGAACAGGAAGGTCCACGATTTACATGCTCTTCTCCTTGCGTCAGCTACAGGAGAAATGTCTAGAACAGAGAATGCCCTTGTACTTGGCATTCATTGATCTTACAAAGGCCTTTGACCTCATCAATAGGGGAGGCCTCTTCAAACTCCTCAAAGTGATCGGCTGCCCACCGAAGCTGCTGGCAGTCATCTCCTCTTTCCATGACAACATGAAAGGAACAATACAGCACAGCGGCACCACCTCAGAGGAATTTCCCATTCTCAGCGGTGTAAAGCAGGGGTGCGTGCTTGCGCCAACACTGTTTGGCATCTTTTTCTCACTTATGCTCACACATGCCTTTGGGACAGCAGAAGAGGGAGCCTTTCTCCATACAAGATCTGATAGCAAACTCTTCAACCTTGGCCGTCTCAGATCCAAAACCAAAGTCCGCAAAGTCCTCATCAGAGAACTATTCGCTGATGATGCCACGCTGACAGCTCACACAGAACAAGGTCTGCAGACACTCAATGCCTGCAACAACTTTGGCCTGACATTCAGTTTGTAAAAGACCAATGTCATGGGCCAGGATGTCAGAGACACCCCTTCCATAAACATTGGCAAGCTACACCCTGGAAGCCGTTCAGAACTTCACCTACTTGGGTTCCACCATGACCTGCAATTTGTCCCTTGTCACAGAGATTGACAAGTGCATTGGGAATGCGTCTACAGTTATGTTCAGGTTGACCAAAAGAGTGTGGGAGAACAAGTCCCTAATGCTCAACACCAAAGTACAGGTGTATCGGGCTTGTGTCCTTAGTCCTGGACAACATACGCCCATCAAGAACATCGACTAAATACATTCCACCTCTGATGTCTCAGGTGCATCATCGGTATCAGATGGCAAGATCGCATTCCCAACACATCAGTCCTCAACATGGCCAGCATTCCCAGCATGTACTCTCTACTCAGTCATAGGCGGCTGAGATGGCTTGGGACACGTGCGCCGCATGCAGGATGGCAGAATA